ACAGTATGTAGTAGGCCAGCACTAATTTCAATAAAGTATTTCTCTCTATATATGTCAGATTATTCAAAAACATGAAAAAATTATTGTTAACCATTTAATAGATATTCTAGAATTTATTTATATTTTATTAAATGCAGAACAAATAACATAGAATTTTTGTATTATTATGTTATTTTATTTATTTTTTTTTTTTTTAGTTCAGTTTTGAAGTTTACTTTAACATTTTTTTTTTAAAACTAATTCTTGCTGATTCTTCATTTTTTTTTGCTCTGTTTTGTTCTTCTTGATATCATTTGCTGAATAAATACCAGATAGCAAATTTATCGTGAATAAATAATTTTATTAAATGCTAGAAGCTATGGTAAAATAATTATATAAATGCACAGAGATGAGTCATGATTCTTTTATTCATATGTAAAGATTTAAATATAATAATTTTTATGCGTCTGAATTACCATATGCAAAGGGACCAGACGTCCTCTTCTGCATGCGGAGGAAAGTTGAGTAAAAACCCTTAAACTGATATGGGTAGGGTCATATTTCCTTAAAGCTCCATCTGGACCTAAGCCCTTTTTTGCCACCGTGCTTCTTCCCCCTCCCCCATCCCCCCTAGTGGTGTCCCACCTAACATAAATCATTAATCAAACTAAATCACCACCACTCGACCCGGTGAATAATACTGCTGCGTAGTCCGTCCTAATTTTTCATTCAGATTTCTCGGTTAGAATTTAAACCCCTCCTCCCACCAACCGTCCCTTCCACTACCACTTAAGACAATCGATATTAAAGAATTATTTTAATGTACTCTATATATAATAATCTCGTACAGATTCCCTTTTGCGGCTCTCACGTGTGTTGGATTTTAAAGAATGAGGTAACAAAAGAAAAACCATTTCCTCATTGAGCAGTGATGGAATGCCAGTTTCAAAACATAGCTACAAGTACAATAGAAGTCAACGAATCCATATGGTATGTTATTTTTTTTAGATTTTGACATGATCATCAATACTCAATATAGCTCCAACTTTCGGATTCTGAATTATTAACTAAAAAAATGATCCATTTTTCATATTACTCTTAATTCTTGTTGAATGCTTCCTAAGTGGTATCACCGGCATACTAATTATGAGTTTAGATTTCAAACTAGTCGCTCTGTTTAATTTGTTATGCCGATCCCTTTCACTGTCCAGAGTCTTGTCGGAATAATTCATCTATTCAGAAAATGGTTCTTGTTATAATGCCATGGACTGTATGACCAAAGGATTGAATTGGCTATAAGTTAAATATGGGGTTAATAACTGATTGCTATATTTTCATATCTATTATAATATTGGAGTTATTGACGCCGAATCTATAATCGCACACACATAATGTGTATTTATTCACATAATATCAAATAATAATGTGGGTTAATTTGTTAATAAATTTTGCTTTAAATATAATTAACTATTGTATTACTGTGGGTGATTGATAATGTGGGTGGTGGATAAATACATGCTGGTAATACTGGTTGAAGTTAATTAGGAAAAAAACAGAAGCACGTTTTGAACAAAGAACTCTTTTTATTCAGAATGATCCAATTACAGAGAGTAACATTTCTACTTTACACAAAATATATATATATATATATATATATATATATTTATATATATGTTACATGTATGTATATATATATATATATATATATATATATATATATATATATATATATATATATGTTATGTATATATATATATATATATGTAACTTAATCTGGTACGAAATATAATCAAAATCTTTCAATGAACAAAGAAACAATTCTATATAAATAAATATTTGATCACAACACTCTTCCTCATTAAAATTATTTTGGATCATTGGGTCCAACCTTTTGTAACAGTCTTTAATCGGGGTCCATGAAGCGGCTTGGTAAGGAAGTCAGCTAATTGTTCTTGAGTTTCAATCGGCTTCATTTCCAATATTCCAGCTTCCACAACTTCACGAACAAAAAAATGGTGAATTCTGATTTGCTTGGTGCGTCGGTGAAATTCTGGATTCTTAGCCATCTTAGTAGCTGCCTCGTTGTTCACGTAGAGAGCAGCAATCTCAGATGGAAAATCTTGGGGTAACGATTCATCCGATAGACGTTGTAACCAAACGATTTCTTTTGCTGCTTCACTTGCGGCCATCAGTTATAATTCAGCTGTGGTGGACAAGGCAACACAGGATTTTCTTTGACTCATCCAAGAAATAGGACCTCCAGAATACTTGCAAATAATTGCAGAGGTGGACCTACCTGTACTTAGGTCACTCTCCAGATTCGCATCACTTGTACCTCTTATCTGGTTACTCTCACTACAATTGAAGACAATTCCTCTCTCCTGAGTTCCTTTTAGATATCTAAAAGTTGAAGTTAATAAGGAAAAAACAGAAGCACATTTTGTAACATAGAACACTTTTTATTCAGTATGTGCTTCTGTTTTTTCCTAATTAACTTCAACTATACTTACTGTCCTCCATGACCTTTCTCTTTTCCATGTTTTCAGGCCTCCTTACTGGGCCGCTAGAGTTTACTGCTCCATGTTATTTTTATAAATAATAGAAAGATCTTAATTTGATTGCTGTCAAGCTCAGTGATCTACAGTCTCAAGCTGACATGAATTCAGCAACCAAAGGGCGTGTGCAAACCCTCTGCTTATCTGGTCTGCTTCTCTTGCCTGGCAAGAGATGGCAGTAGTGCTGCTTGCTTTAATTTAAAATGATATAAAAAGAGGACTGTATTCCCTAAATACTCAGTGAAGCAAGTGAGAGGGTAGCGCAGGGATCTCGTTGAGTCCTGCTTTTCCCTATATAGTTTGAGCGACCAGCCTAGCTTAGAGTTCTCTCGTCTGATTGTAAATAGCATATACAGGTATGTTTTTTATTTTACTGACTTTTAAGTTATTTTATTTTTATTTATTGTATATAATTCATTATTATTAGTTAATTATTTATTCAAATTCAATTTTTAGCTTTGTCTTATTTTTTTATCTATATTCATGGAATTGCGAAATGGCGTTGATAGATGTGTGTGCGATTTAGTCTTGTATTTCTAGCATTCGAATACCTTTTTTTTCTCGGAAAATATGTGTTATACAATGTATAATGATGATTATTTAATGTGGTATATTATTGTTTAAAGTGGTACATTAGTGATATTGAATATGACTAGTGTTATGAAAAAGAAAAAAAAAAGTTTGTTTAATAAAGGAATAATATAATGTAAGAGCTATGTCTATATGGATTGATCATTATGCTGTGTATAAAGCAACCCTGTGTACTAGGGCAGCATTACTTTCAATAAAGTATTTCTCTCTCTCTATTTTTCTTATGCACATTTTATCTTTTCGGTATATATGGTGTGAATGTAGTCTTATCTCAATACAATCATTATTGATAGAAGAGAATGTTATATTGACCTACGGAAATATTTAGATTTTTTCAATATAAATGTCTATTTATATGTTTTCGGAGAAGCCGTATTTGAAAATGATAATCATTTTAAGATTATGCTACTGCGTTTAGATTTATTTGAGTTATAGTGTTTCTTCGATATTACAGTCCATTTTTATATTTTCAAAAACGTAATTTTGTAAGTTACGCATCTGAAATTCGATCTTTTGAATATTAGTATTTCTTCGAAATAAGAGTTTAGTATTATGTTAGTGAGACGTGGTATTTCAAAATAATCTTCATTTTAAGATTACACCATGTCTCGATTAATTTAGGTTTTTCGGATTTCTTCGATATAAGGATTTACTTATATGTTATAGAGGATGTAGTTCTTGAAGATAACCTCTATTTTACGATTACGTCACTGCGTTTTGATATGTTAAAGTTTTTTAGAATTATTCAATATATGGGTCTAGTATTATATTATCGTGTACGTAAGTTCTTCAAATTCCTTCTATATATATATATGTTTTTGGAGTTTTATTTTTTTTTAAATAATCTTCATTTTAAGTCAAGGCTGTTAATTTGTACCCTCGGAGCTACAAATAGCCTTGACTTTGAAATTATAGCTAGAGAGCTACAAAAGGCCTTGACCTTGAAATCTTATCTCGGACGGTACAAATGGCCTTGACGGCAAAGCCGGAACGTCCTTGTCCTTCAAATTACAACTATAAAGTTATAAAAGGATCTAGACCTTGACCTACATTCGGAGCTACATATGGCCTTGACCTAGATTCTAGTCCGGGACCTACAAAAGTCCTTGACCTACATTCGGAGATACAGATGACCTTGACCTAGATTCTAGCCCGGGAGCTACAAAAGGCCTTGACCTACATTCGGAGCTACATATGACCTTGACCTAGATTCTAGTCCGGGACCTACAAAAGTCCTTGACCTACATTCGGAGATACAGGTGACCTTGACCTAGATTCTAGTCAGGGAGTTACAAAAAGGCCTTGACCTTGGCCTACATTCAGAGCTGCAGATGACCTTGACCTATATTCTAGTCCGGGAGCTACGAAAGGCCTTGACCTTGACCTACATTCGGAGCTACAGATGGCCTTGGCGGCAAAGGAGGAACGTCCTTGACCTTGAAATCCTAGCCGGGGGACTACAAACGGCCTTGACCTTGACCTACATTCGGAGCTACAGATGGCCTTGACGGCAAAGGAGGAACGTCCTTGACCATGAAATCCTAGCCGGGGGACTACAAACGGCCTTGACGGGAGCTCCGTGACCTTGAAATCCAAGAACGGGAACAATAAACGGCCTTTACGGCAAAGACGGGAGTTCTGTGTCCTTCAAATCCGAGCTCAGGAGGTACAAATGCCTTGACGGTAATGACGGGAGCTCCGTGACTTTAAAATCCTAGCATGGGTGCTACCAACGGTCTTGACGACAAAGATGGGAGCTCCGTGACTTTAAATTCCTAACTCTTGGGAGCTACCAACGGTCTTGACGGCAAAGACAGCAAGTCCCGTGTCCTTCAAATCCTACCTCGGGAGCTACAAACGGCCTTGACGGCAAAGATGGAAGTTCTGTGTCCCTCAAATCCGAGCTCAGGAGCAACAAATGCCTTGACGGCAAAGACGGGAGTTCTGTGTCCTTCCAATTCGAGCTCAGGACCAACAAATGCGTTGACGGCAAAGACGGGAGTTCTGTGTCCTTCAAATCCGAGCTCAGTAGCAACAAATGTCTTGACGGTAAAGACGGGAGCTCCGTGACTTTATAATCCTAGCTTGGGAGCTACCAACGGTCTTGACGGCAAATACGGCAAGTCCCGTGTCCTTCAAATCCTACATCGGGAGCTACAAACGGCCTTGACGGCAAAGATGGAAGTTCTGTGTCCCTCAAATCCGAGCTCAGGAGCAACAAATGCCTTGACGTCAAAGATGGGAGTTCTGTGTCCTTCCAATTCGAGCTCAGGACCAACAAATGCGTTGACGGCAAAGACGGGAGTTCTGTGTCCTTCAAATCCGAGCTCAGTAGCAACAAATGTCTTGACGGTAAAGACGGGAGCTCCGTGACTTTATAATCCTAGCTTGGGAGCTACCAACGGTCTTGACGGCAAATACGGCAAGTCCCGTGTCCTTCAAATCCTACATCGGGAGCTACAAACGGCCTTGACGGCAAAGATGGAAGTTCTGTGTCCCTCAAATCCGAGCTCAGGAGCAACAAATGCCTTGACGGCAAATACGGGAGTTCTGTGTCCTTCCAATTCGAGCTCAGGACCAACAAATGCGTTGACGGCAAAGACGGGAGTTCTGTGTCCTTCAAATCCGAGCTCAGTAGCAACAAATGTCTTGACGGTAAAGACGGGAGCTCCGTGACTTTATAATCCTAGCTTGGGAGCTACCAAAGGTCTTGACGGCAAAGACGGCAAGTCCCGTGTCCTTCAAATCCTACATCGGGAGTTACCAACGGTCTTGACCGCAAAGATGGGAACTTTCTTCAAAGAAGAATCAGAAGATCATTGGAGCTATCTTCGCGGCAATGCCAAAATAAAAATTCTATGATAATGCCTATTGTCTCAACGGGGTCTGGATCGAAAGGACTTGTTAAAAGAAATTTCTCTTGTCTCATAATTGTTGTGATAAAATACACTGTTTTCTTGTTAGATGAAATAAATAAATTTTATTTATAATTTTAAATGTTAAAAGCCCCGATTTTTTCAACTAAAAACAAAATTATTTTATACTTGCTTAAAACAACAATTACTAAGTTGTAGTATTTTGTAATCAATTCTATTACTTAAATAAGTTTTCTTTTGTATGATAATTACAGTTGAAAAAAACGTACAATGGATAAGGTAATATGGTAAAATGTACATAGAAAACAGTAAATGTAATATATTTTATTAGAACGTTCATAATTTGTAATCTTAAAAATTATTCACAAATTAATATTTACATATGTATTTTTATTGTTTGTCTAACTCTGTAAAAGCATGTTTATATGCTTCAAGTGCGTAAAATATGTACACATTCAATCTAACTTATTGTAACATATTTCTAGGTCTTATTAGAATAGAATAGAAAACAAAGTCCCTTTAGAATAAAATAATAGTACAAAATTAAAATATTACATATGGCCTAAATAAAAACAAAAACAAAGAATAAAAAGAAACAGAAAAAGTAAAGAAAACGTTAGTTAAGAAAATTATATACAAAACACTTGAAACTATGACAAGACATTTAAATCTATGTACAGTGGTAAAGCATATGTATACACTTTTAGAAAATAAAAAATACATTAAATTATTCTTTAAAATAAACTCTGTGTTTCTGCAGACAAAAAATATTATGTTGTATTGTATATTATACAAAAAAAAAAAAAAAAAAAAAAATATATATATATATATATATATATTGTAATATAAAACTGTTTAATTTGTATATACTTATTAATCTAACTCTATGTAAAAGCCTTTTTATGTACATAAAATATTTACAAATGTAATTTATCGTAATGTATTTTAAAATACCTTATTATTTTAATTGTAATTTAAAAAATAAAGAGACGAAAGAGCGATGTATACTAACAGACGGAGCGGAAGATCAATTTCCGTCGGAGTTAGAATGGTAAATGACTCACGACCCGGTGACTGTCGGAGCGGTTCTTTTTGAACTGAATCATTAGTTCATTTTGTAGCGCAATCTGTTATTTTCTCAATGAACTGTTTACTTAACTTAAAAACAATTGATTATTTCTTATTGTAATTATTCTTTCTGGCACTAAAAGCCTCTGATCCGCTCCGTTTTTTAATAATATTGTTTATAAAGTAATTTTTATTTACTTGATATGAAAATTATTAATAAAAAAAGTACACAACTATACTCAAAATTATTAATCGATTTACATATAGTAATATCTGTAGCATCTTTTAAAGGCAAGTTCTAAGCTAAATATTTTAGGACCTACTAAAAAATAAAAAATAAAGTCATATCATTCTACCTTGGCCCGCTCATTTATAACGTACCTCGATCTGAGGTACATTAATATAATTTCAAAATATGTCTCTTTTGAGAATAAATCCTTGATTCATGGTTTTTACTAAAGAAGTTTATAAAATATAATTTACCGACTGCAATCGTAACAGTGTAGATAAGTGATACTTATTATTGAATAAAAATTATAATTCCTATTACAACAAATATTGTCCAAGATACGATTCGTTGCCCAAGGTAGAATATAGAGTGGTCCAAGGTACAACTATAGAAATTGTAATTTTGGTCAGTTATCGTTTTTATTTTTTTTTCTTATATTCAATATCTGGTGATAAAAAAGTTTGAAAATTAACATAGTATCTTCAAAGCATTATAAATAAAATTCTATTTTGGACTTTTAAAAATCATTGTAATTTTAGAAGTTATGTAGCTTTGAAAAAAAAAGTGACATTCGGTACAAGTATTTCACCTACATATATCTATCTTTACTTATTTAATTTATATTTATCAACGATCTAAAATAATAATGATTCATATCCTGCTTGAAATTCAATGCTAATATATAAAATCTTGTATCATTTATTGAGAAAAATAATTATTATAATAGGAACAGAATTACTGTGCTTATATTGAAATCAAAAGTAGAGTAAAACACACAAAAAAAAAATTCAGAATTTTGTCCCACACGATACTGCATCTTCATTGAAAATAAAGAGCTAAGAAGAGACGTCTTGTAACAAATGAAAATATATTGTATTATTCTGAGACTGTTGTCCCTTTAGAACAAATTTTGAGTACAGAATACATGCATGTGTGGCCATAAATAAATTAAATAGTTACAATAATAGTTAATTAAAAGTAAAAATACAGAAGAAGAGATAGAAAAAGACAAGAAAAGCATACATATATATAACACAGTCAAAGGAAACTAAAATAACAGAAATAGTTTCTAGGGGTTTTTCGTATAACTCTCTTAGCTATGCTTCGTAATCACTCGGATTGAAAAAGAAGTAGGTGTTTAAAAAGGAGATGTTTGAAAGAAGAAACTGATTGTGCGTGTTTAATATCAGCAGAGACAGAATTCTAGAGGTAGGCGGTTTGAATTACAAATGATTTGTCAAACGCAGCAGTTCGGTGAGGAGGAGGATAGAGGTCGGAAGTATGGGATCTAGTGGAATGGGATTGGATGAACTATTTAAATTGTAAGCTGTAAAAAATATAGGAGGGTCGATGAGTTCTAATGATCTGGTACAGAAAAGTGGCTAGGAAGTACTGACGGCGATAGGATGGATAGAGCCACTTCAACTCGGTGTAATACTAGGTAATATGCGTATCTCTTGAGATTCCGAAAACAAAGCGTAACACGCAATTCATTAGGCGTTTAAGTTTGGCCTCGAAATCTCCTGTGAGTCCACCATACAGCATACCGCCATAGGTCCAAATAAGGGACAAAAGGGGAGGAAACTAGGAGTTGACGGGACTTTTACGGAAGGAGATAACGTAGACGATTGAACTGTTTTAGGGTGGAGATAGTGCGACGGAAAAATTGAGAGAGGTGTGGTTTCCAGGAGAGGGTTTGATCATATGTAACACCTAGGTTTTTAACAAAATGATCAAAATTCGTCCATCTCCCGACCTCTTGCGAGAAACATGCCCTTGAACATGTTTCAGAACAGGAGGAGTAATCAGATGCTTCGGAAAATTACATTTACCCCTCGTCGCATTTAATATAAATATATCAAGATTTTAAAAATAAAACATAAATTAATTTAAGAAGGCTATTTTAACCAAACATGACAGTTTTTTTTTCAATGTAATTATCAATCAAGTTAAATTGAATTCTCGATTGAGTTTTTGGGTGTGCGTAAAGGCTACCCGGGTAATTAGTGACAAATTGCCCAGGGGAAGGCTAGTGCAAAAAGGGGCCAGAACCTATCGATTAGGGACCCCTCTGACCCCTTTTACTAGAGATGCCCTTACAAACCGAAATAAGGAAACTTTTACACAAGATATCCATGCCGAAATATATACTATATTGTTAAACCTGAGAATAGAATAGGCTTACAACACAAAACTGAGAATAGTAATTCATATCAACTATAGTTTGAATTTTCAATAATGGAATATTATGTAGTTTGATTAAGAAAATCAAAACATATTTAACGTTCGTTAGCTTGTAATTAAAATTTGAAAGTTATCTGTATTCAATCAGGCATCATTAGGGCTCGATATGATGTCATATAAATGCGGAGTAGATAAAGTACACCACACATAAAAAAAAAAATAATGACTGAGAAAATTAACTACTATCGTATAAGCGCACAAGTGATGGACACAGCAAAGGAATTTTTTTTTTTTTGGCTTATGCCGCCCTACTTATTATAGTTACAAACTTCTCCGTTGAACATTTAGAATTTTTAGTATCTCCTTTTTCTATTTAATACTTTAAAATGGCCAGATTCTTCACTCAAGACATGAGTGTATGTGGCTAAAGCGCTCTCGCTCAAACTCCACTGGCTTTAGCAGCAGTGACGCGGTTGAGAGAGTAGCGCAGGTATCTCTTTAAGTCCCGTTTTTCCTTCTATAGTTGGGGGGAGAAGCCTGGCTTGGAGTTCCCTGCCTGATTGTATATATTGTATATAGGTATGACTGTGTTTTTAATTTATTTATCTTTAGGTTGTTTTATTTTTTATTGTACATAGTTTTTGATTATTATTTTACTTTTGCTAATTTTATATTTTCTCTATATATGGTATGAATGTGTTATATTATATACCACTATAATTATTGTCCACGTGACAGATTGTTATATTCCTAAATAAAGAAATTTAAAAAAAAATTGAAAAAATATTCAGTTGTGCAGATATAATCTCCATTTAAAAAACAACACCTTTTTGCACTAGTGATGGATACCCTATACCTCAGAAAAATTCCAAAATCTTTATTTAACTATTAAGATAATATAACATAAATGTTCAACTAACTCTTAGAGAAACTGTTAGTAGGAAGGTGGAATAGTAGGAAACACACTGATCTCAAAAGTATTATAGAAACAACAATGATAGGCATTTTAAAATTTTAAAAAAAAATTTTGGGGAACTTTATTCATACATTTGGGGGCACTGTTCTTAACTCTTGAAAAAAGTTAGAACATTTAAATCAACAAGGAAGCTTATTTAAATTTAAATTTTAGTGTATATAGGTATGCATGTGTATTTTTCTTAGTTTTAATTTTCTTATTTTTAGGTTATTTTATTTTATTTATTGTATACGCTTTTAGATTATTATTTATTGTTATTTTGCTTCTATTTATTTTATATTTTTTTGTACATATAGTGTGAATGTTACCCTACCTCACTATAACTCGTGTCCACGTGACAGAT